TTTTTTTTCCGTTTCTCCTTTTTTTTCATTTTCCCAGCAGCACTTTTTCAACTGCCATTTCTGCACTAAAACCACCACTACGTACGACTCTGCTTTCTTTTTCCCGACCTGAAACACGCTGCAGGAAAAAAAAAAAAAAGAACAGCACAGGCAGAATTGCTTTCCTTTTTGGCTGGCAGCGCTTCGCCAAGCCGATTCAGTTCCCTTGCCCTGCGCCTATGTGACATTTCGAACCGCGCGCCGAACACGCACTCGCGCACGTGCTCAAACCACGTTTGGGCGTGTTCGAAAGCGTTCAATGGTGCCACATGGCAGACACTGGGGAAAACTTGAACACGCGCCCCCGGCTGGCACGCACAGGCCGGAAGCCTCCGGGGAGAGCATAGAGTCAAGAAAAGAAGGGGCAAAAAAAATCCCGTGTGCATGTGTGTGCCTTGTTCTACCACTTGCCAAATGCGACAATGGTGTACAGTCCGCACGCACACACACACACACACACACTGTCTACCCCTTGAATGTGACCGGTGACCGGCCGGTCATAAGGCCCCTGTGCCCGTGAAGGACCTCACAATGGCTGGCCAAGCCATGACAGCGCAGTTTTCTTTTTTTTTCTTTCTTTTTTTTTTTTACCCCTTTCAACGGCGCACCCCACCACGGTCACCGCAAGCCCCACAATGTAATCACATAAAAAAAACAAATCGAAATAACCTTTTAAACAACAAACAAAAATGCTCATGCTGGCTGATTCCCCTTTTTTCTTTTCTTTTTAATTAAAAAAATCTTATTCGTGAAAAAAAACTAATAAAAATATTATGAGGGGGTACCCTCCGATAACCCCACCCTCCTCCAACAAAATAAAAACCCTCCCCAGCCAAAAACAAAAAATAACCGAGAATCCATTTCCGCTCCCCGTGACTGCCCGCCGGTCAGGATTTCTGTGACCGGTGAGGGGGGTCCGGTCACAGACCACTGTTCGTGAACGGGGGTACGGCACTGATCCTCATACCTCGCCGGCCAAGACTCATGGCTAGTCCGACCCCCTACACCACTATCAAAACTAGATATTCCAAACTTCCAAAATATATGGTCCTCTCCCTGTCCGACCACCCCACACCTGATGCGCCCACCAGGTCACGATCCTACCACTACTCGATCAGTCGGTGCACGTATTCAATCCCAAAACCCAGGTGCGTGCAATAGCCAGCGCCCGCTGGTGCCAAAACAGACGAAAAACTTTGTGGGATCCCTCACATTCCCCGGAACATTTGAGCACGCCAAATAAATAAAGCAATAAATAAGATAACCGAAGACACACCGACCCAGTGGCAAGCAAAATACTGATTCAGGGCATACTCACAGTGCCACGTATTTTCACAAATTTTACGGGTGCCAATTTGCAATTATATGTCCCATCCTGGTGACACACCACACCCCTATTCACCACAAAACATTTTGAAGCAACAATGTGGCGACCAGATTTCCAATCGTGAAAACACAATCCTTGCGATCAGTGCCGGTCACACAAGGGCAACACACAAAAAGAAAACATTCCCCBCCCCCCCCCCCCGCTTTCCAGAGTCCTCACACACATATTTTTGCAAAATCGAGTTCCACAACTCCGCACACCACAAATTTTGTTTTGGTTTCCAGAAAGAAACAGCAGAAGCTGCAGAAGTAGAAATACGATTTTGTGGGGACCTCTAGAGGTCAGCTCCCCGCAAAATACGAGACCCTGCAGCTGACATATACATGGCCTTTTGTGTGCTAACCTAGGCTGACCGAGGAGCACTTGCCCAGCCAGGCCAAAAACAATATAAAAATAAAAAATAAAAAATATTATTACTATCACTAGGTTTGCCGTTCGGCCGAACTCCCGAACCCGAACCTGCCGAACGTTCACCCCCCCTTGGGAATGCGTTCGGCCAAAAAAACAAAAAAAAAAAACAATCCAAAAATTCCAAAAGATCTGAGTAAAAAACATATATGTTATGCAGAAAATAAACCGAACAACATTTGCCTCAACGTTACATCCGAATTTCTTACCAAAGTTAAAATACAAATAAAATACGAAAAACAACTAATAATAAGAATATTAGAAAAACGAAAAGAGAAATAAAATTAGTGAGTGGGCGAGCACGTTTTTGACCCGCCATCTTGGGCGATTTTTCATTTTTTCTTGGGATACCCAAATGCCCTGAAACTTTACAGATGTGTATCTTAGATAATATAACGCTCATAATTTTTATTTTTTTAAATAATAGAATATTTGAGGCACCAAAATAAAATCAAACAAAAAGTGAAAAGTGAAAAAAAAAAAAAACTGAGGGCCTTGTTAGACCCTCTTGAACAATCCTCAGGAAGTAGGACGAAGTCCTTGGAAAACTCGACGGGTTTTGGCGGCGTTGTTACACCGCGTCCTAATTGAATGGGTCCCAAGGAAAACCCTTGGAGGTCTCCCGCGGCGAATTTCATACGCATATACGCGGCCGCGGGGGTGGATGTCCATCGTCGTGGTGAGATGTCCGTCCGTCCTCAGAAGTAGGCCGGTGGCGGCGACAGGGAGGCCTTCCGGGCGGCGGAGAGAAAAAAAGGCGCAGAAATCCCTTTTGAAATTTCGCATTTCAAACCCTTGGATGATACGCATCGACGCACTGTGGCATGTAGACCGCTGGAGCGGACACCGGAGCGAAACGTCTCCGAGGAGGATTCGCAACAGCCATCGCGTACGTGTGCCGACGCGGCACGGACGGTGACGATCTCGAAGTGTGTTCGCTCTAACGGGTTCCGGCAGGCCGCCATTACAGAGTGCGCACGTCGCCCCTCCATTGAAGTTGTGTGAGTCCTGCCTTCCCCATCCACGCGGAGAGAGTGGAACGACGGTGTCGACGGCCGACGCAGAGGGTCGTGAAAAGCGCATTGCGCGACGTCATCATGGTCGGAGAGCTGCAGCGCGGTGGCAATGCCTTGACGACTTCGAAGAGAAATGCGGTGGTTGCAGGTGTTTCGGCAGTCGCCATGCGATATCGCATCGAGAGAACAACAATGCGCCTCAAGATGAGACTGTTGATTCGCAGGTAGCGTCAGCTCCTGCAACAAGTGATGGAGGCGCCCGACTGTGTCCATGTCTGAATCCATTGTCCAGTTTTGCTGGACCATGGCATCCGGTGTGATCCCACCGGCGACTCCTAGGTGGTGGATGAGAAGGACGGGAGGCACATGGGAGGATCTCCGGAAGATGGACGACGAGGCAGATAACTACTACAAGGAGAAGTTGAGGATGTCCCCTAGGGTGTTCCGGGAGATCGTGGAGTCGTTGTCCCCTCTTCTGTTCCGGAGGGTGACATTCTACAGGGTACTATTAATGTCGGATCACATCATTGCATATGCGATGTATCGATGGGCGAGCGGGGAGCGTACGAGAGCAGCACATCGCCATTCGGCACAGGAACCGAATCAGGTTTGATCGCAGTCGAGGACGTCACCAGGGCGCTTCTGAGGGTGTACCGTGACAACATCGTCTGGCCTTCCGGGCTGCGACGGGTGCTTGTTTTGCGTGCCTTCGAGGTAAAGCGTTTCCCCAACTGCTGACTACACGAACATATACGTGGACAAACCAGCGAACGCACCATCGGAGAACTACTTCGATTTGTTGCGCAGGTGGTGGTGGACTTGGACTTGTGCATTACGAACGTTTTCGTCGGTTATCCAGGGAGCTGCCATGACATACGTGTGCTTCAACTTTCCAGGCTGTGGGTGCGTGTGGAGGGGGATTTTTTCCGTGGACCTGCTGTGGTGCTGCCGTTCAGAGTGAAGACACACGGGTACATTCTCAGTGATAACGGCTATCCTACTTTGGAGTGGATCGTCGTGCCTTACGGGGGGACCGATCAATGCGCCGACGAAGAGAGGTTCGACAACAAGCAAAAGGTCGCCAAAGGAGCAGTGGAGAGGGCTTTCGAGAGATTGAAGGGGATGTGGAGGCTGTTCCTCCGCACACACAAGACAAATATGGACACTCCCGCAACAGTTCCAAGCCGTGTGCATTCTGCACAACATCCTTCTCGATGCTGGCATGGACATCGACGAGAACTTCTTGTGGGAAATGGACGCTCATGGCGCGTGCCAATGAGTGGACTTAGGGTTGGATTACCCAACCCACCCCATCGCGGAAAACTTAATCGACCCCGTGCGCGTGCGTGGTGATGTACTGGAGGCGGCGGCTGTTGTTGTGCTCCGGCGGGAGTGTAGTCTTATTCGTTGAGACATTTCTTTCCTTTTACTATCGTTTGACATTTTTTTTCCCTTTTACTATCATTTACTTGGCGTGACTTTTAATCAGTTCGTGAACCTTTGAAGAGAGACGGATCACCGCTCCATGCATTGTTTTCGCAGACGACAACGTCGTCTTTCTTGTACCATTTTTGAATATCCACGTCCTTGGATGCGCTTTTGTCATCTATGAGTTCTTTTGTTGCGTTAATCGATCGATGCGGATTTTTTGTATCATTCAGTTCATGCAACAATAAATAAAGCACCTTCTTGTCTATCCATGCGCATTTCCTGTGGCATTCAATTCATCCACCAATAAATCAATCAATGAATGAACCAATCGATCAATCGATGAAGCAATTAGCCGACCTACCAACAGCCATTTCGTCAAAACGGACATATTATATTTTTTGAACGAAATCAAAACAAACTTTTTTTGCCAAAATCCGGTCGTAATTTTTTGCTCCTGGGGGTCCGGCGTTCCCAAAACGCCTGTATCTGGTCTCAACCATAGACCAAGGGGGCCATGAGCAAAAAATTCCGACCGGATTTGGGCAAAAAAAGTCAATTTTGATTTCGTTCAAAAAATATAATATGTCCGTTTTGACGAAATGGCTGTTTACCGATCAATCAATCAATGGATCAATCGATCGGCCGACCAATCGATAAATCGATAAATTGATAAATCAATCAATCAATCAATCAATGCGCATTTGCAGAGCCGCGGAAGGAAAATCTCACAAAATTTATCATTCAATACATGCCCTGCATCCATGAAAGAAGTTGAAAATATGCATCCCCTCTTGTTGTGTTATCCCCAAAAAGGTGCCATTAATCATATGGCCTTCACTGAGCAGTGCATCCACTGCACAAATCCGCAATAAGACGAAAACGAAATCGACCACATTCGCGGTCGGCTGCCACGAACATGCACGTCGGCGGCCGACGTGGCACACTACACGACTCTGGTGAAACAAAACGACCGCATCAACTTCAAAGCACCCCTCGATCGCCGACAAGCATCTACACATCTCGGAACCTCGCCACCCCTGCCTCCACCTGCCAGTTTTACCCCCATTACAATCCTTCGTCAACACCCCTTCCCCCCTATCCCCGCACCCGCCATACACAAACCAACACGACGGGCATGCCACCGTAGACCGCGGACCATTCCACTCCACCAAAGAAGCATGCTGCCACGATGCGCAGGACGACCATATCCACCACATTCAATTCCCTGCTTCATCGTTAGCACCGTCCTCCTTGCGGTCGCCATCAAAAAGTCCCGTCCCCATCCAGTCCATCTTTGCCACGATGTTGGGATCCGCCAAACCAGCGTGGTAGTTGAAGCCCACTCCACATGAAGCCCACTCCGGGATGTAGTTAGGAAACGCACCCATCGTCAAGGGCGGCTTCCCGAGGCGAGTCAATACGGCATTCGCGGACTCGAGAACATGTCGACGCCTGTTGAAGGACTGTGAACCAGCCGCCACAATCGTAGGCTCGCCACGAGCTGCACGTAGTATGACGCCTCCTTGTAGGAGCGTGCAGCATCCCCCCCCATGCGCATGACCCACACGCACGAGCCGAGAAGCAGGTGGAAAGCGTCTGCAACTCTGCTAAGTCTTGATTGGGACATTTTCCCGCCATCGGACCCCTGCCCGTATCGAAGCGCATCGTGAAAGCAAGACGCCAAATGCATCACAGTGGACTCCTGCTGGCCTGCCATGTCGCCGTCCTTCGAGTTGGGCCTATCCTCGATATATGCCCCTGCATACCACAATGGAATGTCCAACTTCAAAGCGAGCGTGTGGTAGACGGCACTAGGCGGCACTACCCTCGACCACTCCACGCTCTGGCGGCTCTGCCAAACAGTTTTCGCCAGATCGGTGGGGTAGTCGACGGTGACATACGGCTCGACGCGGGTGAAACCATCGGACCTTGAAGACGACCTGAATATCCACCCATGGATGACGCACGTAGCGACGTTCTCCGTCCGTCGCAGAGCGGGCTCTAACCGCAATCATGAGACCAGGTATGTTTCCCCAAAACATCTTCCCGTCTACCTAGAGTTTGGATTTCACCTCCAACTCTTCCTTCTGACACGTTCTTTTCTTCCTAAAGTTGAGAGACTCGTCGTCCTCGTCGTCCCGCCGCTGAGTCTCATCCCTCCTCTCCTCTTTCCTCCCCGTCCCTTCGATCCTCCGATCTTCTGGCCTTTCTCCCTCAGCAGTGGCGGTGGCATGCATACTGCCGCTTCCTGCTTGTGCGGAAGGTGCGACAACCCTTGACGACCCCCCGACCATCAACGTGTTTGACGGCTCAACGTGGCGCAAGAGGGACCCAGGGACTTGTCCTTTATCCACGCGTTCGACAACGGAAACGATCGTGGACGTTAAAACTTACAGGCCTTTGCGGTGCCGTGTCTTTGATGACAATCCCTTGAGAACGCATGGTTCCGCTCCCTTCACCACATTAACTCCCTGGAAGACCAACGTTGGCCAGTGCAATCATCCGCATGCTGCTCACACCGTCTCTCCCGAACCCGAACGTTGACGTGACCGTGGAAGGGATATCCATGGGCGACACATCCTATGCCCCCAGACCCCCCATCCCGCACACCTATCCGTCAACCCCGCGCAACTTTTTGGACTTCGGGACGTGCCCCCTTCCGATTTGCCCGCCAGCGCCTTCGCTGGATCCGCCCTCTTGCCTTTTCAATTGGGACTGTCCACGTGGCGCCATGCGCTACCGATCGCTCTCGCCCGTCTTGCAAATGAAGGCGTTGTGAGTCTGACGCGTGCCGCGGACGACGCCGCAGACAGATAAAGAAGAGAGGGATGCAAATGAAGGCGTTGCGAGTCTGACGCGTGCCACGGACGACGCCGCAGACAGATAAAGAAGAGAGGGATGCGCAAGTGACGACACCGCTGGTTTTTTGCGATGGCGAGGATGATCAACTCCTGACGCACAAGTAGACAGCCCCGCGCCGAGGCAAGGAATGGACGCCCACGAAGCGCAGGACATGAAAACCAGCAGACATGCACCGACCTTCATAGTGGTGCCAGTAACCTTTCCCTGCCACGGCGCGCTCCCTGAATGACGGCCTCGATTTGACCCATTCAGACGAGCACGGGCCGTCTGCAGGATTCCGCATCCCAAAGCCATAACAACCCCGCCCCTCGACACTGGTCATCCCTCGTACAGGGGTCCAACCACCCGCTGCCGACGAGTCCACACTGCCCATCCCTCGACAATGACCACTTCCAAAGACATGCTGCTTAAACGAACACATGCACACAAACACACCAACACAAACACACACACACACACACACACACACACACACACACACACAGAGTCACACACACACACATTGCACAAACGGCACCGCAGCTCGCGGCACGCTATCAAAATTCCCCGACACATAAACAAGAAGGAAATGCAAAGAATACCAGTCGCCAACGGAGCCTGAGAAATTCCAACCTCGGGGAACTACCTACTCCCTATATATATATATATATATATATATATATATATATATATATATATATATATATATTGTAACACTGTGAATCGGAGCGCAAAGGCGAAAAAAAGCAAAACAACGAAAGGAAAAGAAGGAAGGAAAGCCTCACCTGTTCATCAGCTCTTACATACAAGGCCAGCCACGTGAAGGACAGGTTGAGCGCTGGCTGCCCCCATCCCCGTGTGTCACAAGGACCCACTTGCACGCAACCAAAAGGCAGAGAGGTAAAGAAAAGGAGGAGGAAACCAAACCTCACAGAGGCAAGAAAAAGAGAAAGGGATCTAGTGAAAGAAAGGACAAAGAAAGAGGAAGGAAGGCATATTAGCCAAGCAAAGCAATTGACACATCCCTCAGATAAACCAATTACCATTGTCACAACAATATATATATATATATATGTATGTACACACGATCAATTACACGTGGCGAGGAAAAGTAACTGCTCCCAGCAACGACACACGACGCTATCGTCAACCTGAACGAACTTCAAACCTCGCACGACGTGCCTTCAACAGCGCCCTTCACGAGTGCACGTGTGGAGTCAGCACCATCACCACAACACCCACGGAGAACAAGCGAGGGATGTGGCGTTCAAACATGCATGCACATGACGACCGACTGCGAAAGAATGTACACAGATGCAGGACTTCAGGCGGCGTCACGACCTCTCCTTTATTGCTTTAGCAATCTCCAACAACGCAGTGCACATCATCCTATTCGCCTCGTCGGACGCCTCGTAGTGTCGCTTCTCGGCATCGACCTTGTGCTCGAGTATGTCGCACTGTCGCTCCAGTATGCTACACTGTCGCTTGCTTGTCCCCTCTACAATGTCCGCCATCAATGCACTGTGCTTCGGCGATGGCGTCAAACGTTTGCTGCCACATGTTCTTTCTCTTGCCAGCGCCGCCCATGCTGCCTGCACTGAACCCGTACTCCCGCGCCGACCCTCCATCTTCGTCATTGCCATCACCCACATCTCCCCCGGCAATAGATTCTCCTGCAACGGATGGCTGACGTGGAGTATCCCCCGCCGGACCCCCCGGCATCGGCACTCCTCCCCAGGCGCTCGTGTCGACGAGGTTATCCGGGTAAACGGTCTTATTGCGTTGAGACATGTTGTCGATCTCAAGGTACACTCGCTGATTCATTCGGAAGTTGAATCCCTCTTCTATTCTCAACGTAGGCGTCAAGATGAAGAAGTTCTTCCCCCCGAACGCATTCTGGTATCGTTGCAACTTCTTATACTACTGGAAGAGGTTATCCCACTTCTTGCCAATGTCGCCGATGGTCCTCTTCACGCCCACCTCCACCAGACGCTTTTGCAGGTCCTACAACTTCCATTCCTTGTTGCGCATGCGGCCGTAGTGGTGCTGCTTTCCGTCGAAATGAGCTTGCTGATCCCGCTTCGCTCGAGCGAGCTTGACCAATGACCATCTCCCCAACACTCCAAGCTGGATGTTTGCCGCCCTTCTCGCCCACAGGACCCTTCGATCCACGACCACCACGTGGTGCGGCCTTCTGTTGACGTCCGCATCCACCCCTCCGTCTGGCGTCCACCACTCACACCAACGAGTTGAATCTCCAAATCTTCCGCATCTTCTGCTTCCTCCTCGCAATGGGAATCTGGAGATTCTTCTCCACTCGCCCTCCGGGTGTCATCCGCATCGCCATCGCTCCCCACACGCATCTTCCACACCCCGTTCATTATGTTATCAGCGGTCGCTCCGCGCATCTGTTGGCGACAGGACTCACACGCGGCCACACCTGCCTCCCAATTTCTGTCGATGGAGAAGTGCTGGTGTTCGCTGCCGGTGTGTCCGCCCTCTGCCGCAATGCAAGCTAAGGCGTCGCGGTAACACTGGCCTCGGCGGATCGCCAGCTGGTCCCACGCCTCCACAAATGGAAGGCGCTAGACGACACCCATTTGTCGTGCCACCCACATGGGAGAATCTTCCACCTAACCCCGCCACTGCCACCCGACTCACATACGTTCTCACAGACGTTTGTCCATCGGTTGTCTCGCCCACGTGGTTCGATGCACAAGTGTTCGCACCCACTCCAACCGTCCCACTTGACAAGCCGAAATCCAAGTCCACAATCTTTGTATGGCCACCGTCGATACCTTCGTCCAACATTGTCGAGAACGACTGACGACTAGTCCCTGCCTTCCTTTGCTCGTAGTCTACGTAGATCCGCTCCCCAAAGGAAGAGTGTGGGACAAATCGTCCACCCATTCCTCTTCCGGATCAGGCGGTAGCGGCTGCTCGTGCGGCGGGAGATGACTGTACAACGTGGGGTCATATGAGGTTGGACGATGACCCGATACAAGCCGCGCATTAATGGAGAAGTCAATCACACGTCTGTGTTGTCCGGCAGAGCTCTCCCGCCTTTCCATTGTCGCCTTCGTTGCCACTTGTCATCTCCATCTGCCCCCAGGACCCCGCACAGCGAAACAGCCGCGCAACAAGACGACAAGGACCAGGAGAAGAGTGGCCACTAACAGGACCGGGAGCCGTTGGAGGATGTCTGCCATGAATCGCAGCAGCTGTCGATCTGCACCGACCGGAAATCCCTCCCGTGCGCATGTCAATGTCGGGCATTGGACATCTGCCATGAATCGCAGCAGCTGTCGATCTGCACCGACCGTAAATCCCTCCCGTGCGCATGTCAATGTCGGGCATTGGACGATGTCGAGGAGAACAGCAGCCGGCCAGTGCTGCTCACACGGCAGGGATAATTTTTCTTTCGAAAAAGTCGACTGTTGGACACCACGCCCAACGATGCGCAAGGAGAACCCCACCACATGAACGGCATCGTAGCCGAAGAACCGCCCCCCGACCCTCGACACGCCAACAGTAACGGCACAATGCAGTTGGAGGCCTGTGTTGCCCCACGATGTTGTCCGCCCGATGGACCATGGACGACCTGTGGACCACGAACAACTCCAATTTCCGGTGTCGACACACACTCCACGACGATGCGTCAATCGCGGCTCCTTGAGCCCAAAGGACCTTGTGAGGGCCCCTTGAATCCGAGGACGCTTTGGCTGGCGATTCTGAGGGACCCAAGGAAATCCCCCAGGAGGGTTTTCACATTTATCCAAGGATTTTGGAGAATTAGAACGCGGTGTAACCCCGCCGAATTCCTGAAAATCGCCTTCCCAAAGAGGGTCTAACAAGGCCCTGAGTGGCCGACCACGTTTTTGGCACCGCCAGCTTTGGCGATTTTTCATTTTGTTTTGGCTTGGCAAAATGCCCTGAAACTTTATATGCATGTAGCGCATGTCATACAGAACTCACAAAAAAAACATTTCAACAAAAATAAAAATAAAAATTAAGGCTTCAACATAGTTTTTGGCGGGTGCCCAAACCCTTCAGGTTCGGACCCCGAACAGGACGCCGAACACCCGAACGTTTGGGGGTCAGCCTGGGGGCCCCCGAGCATTCGGCATGGTAACCATGATTATTACATATATTATTTTAATTCGGTAAATTTTATTTTTTTTTATTATAGAAATCCTTGTATATTTCCAAAGGCCGAGAACCGGGATCGGCATGTGGTGATCCCCTCGGGGGACGGCATCACCAGCCGAACCCATAGGGCCCAATGGTGGGGGGTATCACAGTAACCACATGAAAGGACAAATGTAACAGTTTATCCAGTACAGGTTGTAGCACGCTATGAAAGACCTTGTGAGCTAATTCCTAAATGAAAAAAGCGAGCAATTGACTACAATGACCACAGAAGCAGTCCTATCTGTGGCTGGTGGCTTTTGAATTTGGTAAAGAATTTTGATGTGACCCTGAGGCAAAAGAATCTGGTTCAGTTTATTTTTCTGCACAACTCCGATTTTTTCATTTTTTTTTTTGTGTTTGTTTTTGCTAGGACCTTCCCTGCTTCTTGCACGACAGGACCGCCCAGGAAAACAGGGTGAACCGGGCAGCCCGGCTGGTAGCCTAGGTGATAACGCAACATACGTGCCCCTTGTGACCCAAAAAATCACTTGCAATGAAAATACGTCGTAGTGTGAGTATGCCCTCACAAACAAAACCAAATGACGCAAAAAAAAAAATTATACCCTTGAAAGTGCCTCCCGGTGTCCCAGAGCCTTACTTCTATAAAACCGCAGCCTGGATCCAGATGCTGAGAATCTCAAGGCGGCTAACAGCACCTGCAGCGCTCGATCTGGGACAGCCTTGCCCAAATTGGCCAAGGCACAGAGAGAGAGAGAGAGAGAGAGACAAATTGGCCAAGGCACAGAGAGAGAGAGAGAGAGAGAGAGAGAGAGAGAGAGAGAGAGAGACAAATTGGCCAAGGCACAGAGAGAGAGAGAGAGAGAGAGAGAGAGAGAGAGCAGAGATGAGCACCGGGTACCCAGACCCGCACCCACCTGCACCCACCCCACCCACGAGGACATTGGGTCAGGTGCGGGTCTCTCAGAGATGAGCATTTTTTTTTTGAAATGCCACTTCACCCAACCCACCCAAAATTTTCTTAGTACATGCAACCCTTAAAAAAAAAAAAAAAAAAAAAGGTTTGAGGCTGATCCAACCCACCCAAGCATTTTTTTGAATTTTTCCACCCACACCCAACCCACCCGCCACCCGTAAAAAAGGTTCACCCAGACCCACCCGCACCCGGGATGTAGTATCTTTTCACCCTCAGCCGGCCGTGCCCGCTATTGTCTATCCCTTCGAACATT